GGGGGCTAATATTTACTTCATGAAGTACACATGGGCTTTCTGCAACTCTCTCTCTCTGCTAGTCCTTGGGTACATAACTTTTGGTGATAATAAGAAAATTAGAACCCCAGGTTCAGGTTAAAACTCAATCTTGGATGTGCTTATCAACGCCCATTTAAAATGCATCTAGCTACAGACGGTGCATCTTAAATTCCTCTGGCTACATAGTGCTCAATCCCATGTCTAGTGAAACAGTATTCTCACTACTTACTCAAATCCCAGCTTTTAGGTAAAATAGAAACAAAAATAGATATCCGAGGAAAAGGTTTAAGAAAAGAGAAGAAAAATTCCAAGATAATCCCTATACTGACTGCACCCCATTCAGCTTCCTAACGGGGAGGTGCGGAAGGGAGGATGGTACAATTCCCACTCGTGACGTGGCTGTGTCTCTCTTCCCTCTCCACATACAGTGCTGGGAAGAGAGAGGGGACATTTGGGACTCCGATTCCGAAGCCTCTGCCCATTTTTTTTCTTTTTTGGGAAAGAGTGGGATTTGGAATCATGTCCGTATCTCTAGAACAGCTCCGAAAAGTGCCGGGGGATGGCACTGTGTCTTCTGCCCCAGAGCCTGGAGCCTGAACAGTAAGCAGTTCATCAAGCAGTTCACTGGAGGAAGAGTGGGGAGTCTGGAGTCAGAAGCCATAGCAGAGGACAGAGCCTGAGCGGAGAGCGGTGTCCTGTGGGAAACCATCCCACGAGTCACAGCTGGACTTTAGCAGCAAGGTTATTGAAGGCTCAGGCTTTGGTTGTTTGCCAGGTAATGTTATTGGGTAGTCCCGTCCCCCCCCTCCCCCGGCTTCATGTACATCACCCCTAAAGCCAGGAAAGTTGGGGCACAAGCTGCCAATGGAGGAAGATTGTTGCAGAGATAGAAAACACCAAGAGACAGCTGGAACTCTATCAAGTCGTGACTTTTATTTTTAGCTGCTACTGTCCTGAGTTCCCAGGGTCCAGTTTGGAACTGAAGCCCAGCTAGAAAGCGAGGGCCACTCTTAAAGGCAAAGGCCACAATTTATTCTTGCATAAGTGTACTTCTGAAGGTGGGAGAGAACATTCCGATCTTTTGCATTTCTGGAATTCCTGGTATTGTCTTAGCCCTCTCAGGTTGGTCACAGGGCTGGTACCACACCTAAGATGAAGTCCTCAGCTGCCACCAAATGTCTATTCAGCCCTTTGAGTCTCCTTTGGGTACAGAAGAGCTGAGTCCCTGCTCTAGGTTCCTGGGATCTAAGTGAATCTCACCAGACGCTAGGTAAGACCCATTTTCTTCTTCAGTTGTTTTCCTTAAAATGCCACAAACATCTTCTACACTGGGCTGTGAGTCTAGTTATGCACCACCGCCATAATGGTGGTTCAGTCTACATTGTACATACAACCGCTGTGTGTCTAACAGTGGTCCCGTAAGATTTAATCACCTAAAAATGTAGCCATCTTAATCAGATAAGTACAGCCAGCAACTTTCACAACAGTGATGAAATAACCTACTTGTTACATGTTTGGGGCCAGAGAAGAAAAGGAGAATTGTAGCCATTTCTCCACCTATAATACACTCAGCTTAACCTAAGTGATTCAGCATGGGGTAGAGCTGACAGATAATTAATAGAAGCAAAGACAAGGTTTTATTTACATGCCTGGAAATGAGCAGCAGACAGTTGGGAGCAAGGCTGACATTTACAGGGCTTCAGTGGGCAAGTCTGGCAAGTTCTAATGGGTTCTTGTAGCGTGATTCAGATGTGTGGTTTCCCATCCTGTTTGGAAACTCCCCTAGAGGTCTACAGCCACTGAATTTGTGCTTCCCTGAAGAAATCAAGAAACACCCTTCAAGGAAGTTGAAAGGAAGCTGTATCATGGGACATTTGGCTTTAGTGACTTAGCTAGTTGCAGTCAGCTGAGGGTCAGATTTGATTTCCTTCTGCATCTCTGTAACTCAGAGCTTGCAGTTTAAAGTACCCCAGTCCCTGAAGTTCTAGTGACTTGAGCCTATAAAAAAAGAGTACAACACACTGCTTCCCAGGGGAAAAGGCACACAGATTTCTTCCTGTGCAATTGTACAGGAGTTGAAGAGTGTGAATCTCAAAGATGGCCCAGGTGGCTGAAGTTAAAATTACAGGGAAGAGAGAGGTGAGCTTTGTAGGCAATTGGGGAGAAGGGCTGTTTTTGTTTGTTTGTTTTTTGTTTTGTTTTGTTTTTTCGAGACAGGGTTTCTCTGTGGTTTTGGAGCCTGTCCTGGAACTAGCTCTTGTAGACCAGGCTGGTCTCGAACTCACAGAGATCCGCCTGCAAAGGGCTGGTTTTTAAAAGTGGTAAATGGAACTGAAGAATAGGTAATGATCTTAGACCAAGTTCACCTAGGTTCCAGGTGGTGTGTTGTCAACTCCAGTCTCCTTGTAAATTAATCTTGTAGGAGATACAGCATTTAAGTGGGGGGGGGGGGGACACGGACATCAGAGAAAGTACCTTCTAGTGCTTGGGGAAAGGAAAAGAGGCAAGAGATGTGGTCCAGAGAGGAGAAGGTCATGGCAAGCAATTGTATTCTCAGGCTTCATTCTCTGAGTCCCTGATACTGTCAGTTTCTTCTGCTGCTTCTCTCTTCCCCTCCCTCCCCCTTCCTTCCCCCATCTCATGATGTCATGCACCTTTAATTCAGACATAGCTCTGCTTAGCTTTCAAGATCAGATGAGACAGGATATGGTTTGAGGGGTATATCTAGACTCTTTATATACCTGGAGAACACACATGTATTTTTTGAACTGCTTTCTATCCCCACCATCTTTATCCCTAATAATTTTAGTTTTATTAAGAACAGGAGTGAGTCTTTCACACAAACTCTGTGCTGGTCAACATTAGTAGACTTCCCATTGATCCCATTCTTTTTTCTCCTCTACCATCCATTTTCTGGTTCCTGGTTAATTAGTCCAGTGACATATTCTATTGTTTTCTTCTCCTCCCCTTTCCAGAAAAAGATCCCCACTATGATCAAGTAATATACCATCTTTAGTTATCATGGCTTTTTGTGTCTGAATATGAAATTTTTCCTTGACTTTTGTTGACTTCCATGACATAAATTTTTGAGAAATTAACTTTTTTTTTTTTTTTTTACAAAGTTAGAACAGCCCTTATTTTGTCTTTGTCTGCTGTCTTCTCAGGATTGCCTTCAGACCATTCATCCTGACCAGAGCAGTCCATGCAGAATGTTGTAGCCCTACAGAATCTCAGCCAGAGGCATGCAATCTGTGTGCTGTCTGTTTCTCCTTTGTCACTCTAATTGTGTTCCCATGGTCAAGGTGTTGTCTGGATTGCTCACTCTGTGGTTGCTAGGGTTTTGTTGTTGTTTGTTTCTAATTAGATATCTAGTAATAGGCTTTCTTGTGGAATTTTCATATATCTTTGTTTTGTTTGACCCCACCCCCATCTCCCTGCCCTTGGTCCCTGTTTAAGTCCTTCTCCCTTTGTATCCTCTCGCACTTTAATGTCGTGTGCATTCTGTTACACTCCTGCTTTACACCTTAAAACTCTTTCCTTTCCTCTCATGGGCCCCTTTCTTGTTTCATGACCTCACTCCTTCCCAATAAACACACACGCACACCTGCACACACATACACACACACAATACACATATGCACACACATACACATACACACACGTGCACACACACATACACACACACACACACACACGAAACCAGGATGTGCACGTGTGAGAGAATATGTGATATTTGTTCTTCTGAGCCTGGGTTACGTCACTGCCTATATTTCTGAGTTCCATCCAGGTGTAGTTAAAAGGTAAAATAACGTTAAAGAAAAAAAAGTTTCTCCCGGTGACCAAATGGTGTAAAGATGCCCCCTTGTGGACGGTTAGGTTCTCTTTATAATCGAATTTAAAGACGGAATCTACTGTCTTTAAATTGTTTAATACAGCACTGCACATACGCAACTGGGATGTGACGCTGTCGCCCTTGCTGTGAGCAACGGAGCCAACAACACAATTAGAAATTAAGTTCCTTACAGATCATTCTGGAAATATCATTTCAGACATATTTATTATTTTATGTGTATAGGTGTTTTGGTTGCATGTATACAGGTGCTCCACAAGTGTGCCTGGTACTGAGGAAGTCAAAAATGGGTGTCAGAATCCCCTGGTACTGGAGTTACAGAGGTTATGAGACTCGATGTGGGTACTGGGTATGAACCTCAGTTATCTGCAGAGGTAACAAGGGCTCTTACCTGCTGAGCCAACTCTCCAGGGCCCCATATTATCTATTCTTAAAAGGACTGTATTGATTTTAATAACTTCAAGGTGTATCTGTAATGTAAAAGTCACAGAAGTGGTCACCTCCTGAGATCGGGACAATGGGGAATCTAGTATCTTGGCCGCATGCTATGTCTTTATTGCTTGACTGGGGCTTGTGGCGTTCCACTTAGAGAAAATTCATCAAAATTCACAAGATCTGTGTGCTCTTTGGTGGGTGTTGAATTTTAATAATTTGCTTTACAACACTCATTCCTTAGGTTTTAAAAGCAATTTGACCCAAATGATGATGCTTAACTAATAACACATTCCTTTCTTTAACTGTTTCTGAAGGGGCTGGGACATAGAAGCCAATAGGTTGGGTAGTACAGGCCCATTACCTCAACCATGTGATCTTGTGTAAGGACTTTTATTTCTTTTGTGAGTCAGTCCTTTCTACTACAGCAGTGCTTTGGGGCTACATAAATCAGCAGAGTTGAAAGGAAAAACCTTACCAAATACCTGTACCAGTCTGAAGAAGCTAAATCTTTCACGAAACTAAATTACGTCAATAGGGTTAGGTCCAAATAGAATTCTATATTGTCCCCCATATGACTTAGGAAGAAAGAAGAGGCCCTTTTAAAAGTTTTAAATGGAGAGGGGACAGAGAGAACGGACAGGGACAGAGGCGAAGGGCGCCTGCTGCTCTTACAGAGGACCTGTTCAGTTTCCAGCACTCACATGGTGACTTACCATCACCTGTGATTCGAATTCAGGGTATCTGGAACCCTCGATTGACCTCCAAGGGTACTGAGCACACATGCAGTGCACTTACATATGGGTAATGCACTCATACATGTCAAATGAAAATAGGGTAAAAAAAATTTAAACGTTTCCAAAGACAAAACAACCTTGTCCATTTTGATCTTTTGACCTGGAGCCCTAGAGAAAGGTGCAATCAGTTGCAAGCTAATCGAACAGAGAGGAAAGGAGAGCGTCTCAGTAGAAAGATCTGGATAAATGGAGGAGCCAGTGGCTGAAAGAGTGGGGGAGCCGTCACCCGTGCATGTGTCCGCTGGACAGAAAGGGCAGCGTTCTGCTGAGTAAGCGTTAATTGGACATTATGTGCTGCCGATAAAAATGTTTCCCAAGGATTATTAATTCCCATGCATCTATTCCCATGCCCTCAAATTAGCACGGCAGTAGTTTCAAAGGGATTCTCCCTCCACATACAGCATATTAAACTACTTCATCCAAAGGACATTAGATGTTACGGGTACATCATGAGCCCCCCTTCCCCGAAGCTTTAGTCCTCCAGCACATTCCACATTTCATAAATTTTAATGCCTGTTTTGTCCTATACTTTCCTTCCCTGTGAGTTGCTTCAAAGAACTTAAAGAATGTGTGAAAATGGGGCTAAAGAGATGGCTCAGCAGCTAAGATATATTACTCTTCCAAAGAACTGAGTTCGATTCCTAACACCCATGCCAGCTGCTATATGACTCCCTGTTTTCCTATATGTGCATGTGTTGTGGGTGCACATGTGTGTGTGTGTGTGTGTGTGTGTGTGTGTGCCTATGCATGTATGGAGACTAGAAGTCAATGTCAGGTGTCTTTGTCAGTCACTCCACTTCATTTTCTGAGACAGAGTCACTCACTCAACCGGCTCACAAATTAGGCTAGACTGATTGGTTAGGAAGCTTCGGTGATCCTTCTACACAGAACATCAGGAGTGCGTGTGTCTATCCAGCTTTTACATGGGCGCTGGGGATGGATCTCGGGTCTTCATGCTTGACCATCAATGACTTTACAGACGGAGCCAGCTTCTCACCCATTGGTTATTCTCTCTTTTGAAGTTTTTATTATACACATGTATGTATAATGTGTGTATGCTTGTATATATGTATATGTATGGCATGTGTGTTCCGTGGTGTGGGTGTGGAGGAGGTCAGAGGAAACCTGTAAGAATCAGCTCTCTCTTTCTGTCATGCGCCCCTGGGAACTGAACGCAGGGCACCAGGCTAG